CACTTCTCAGTTACTGATACAGGAAATTTCATCACGACTCTATTTTTTATTTGGAAGACGTTGCTTTGCACTTTTTTTCTCTTATGCTGCTTTCATTTCTTTATTGTGAAGTACAAGATGAGCAATTGCTGTTGAAAGTTCTGCAGAGATGCAACATTTTTCTTTCTGCTCAGCAGTCCAGAACCCATGCAAAGGAAAGCCTTCTGGCCCTGAAGCACTATGTGCTGTTCTACTAAAGTGATTCCATTCCCAGACAGCTTGATCGGAAAACATAGACTTCAAACCGTTTATTTTGTTCAACAAAGTATCTTCAGTCACAAAGTGTGAAGTATCTAAACCTAGAGTTCAGTGGCTTTGGACTGCCTATGTCAGCCCCTTGCCTGAAATCAGCATGGAAACCTTGCAAACCTGGGCCCAGAGCAGGAATCCGGAGGGATGTCCTTCCCAAGGCCACCAGCTGTCCCAGCCACCACTGTTTGGGCAGCACTCTTTGCTTCCACATCCAAGAGCTGCTGCAATGGATAAGCCAAGCACCAAAGCAGGGCTGGGGTGAGAGCTTCCTCCAGCTGCTTCTCTCTTTGTGCTGGTTGCACCATTACAGCTCAGGGGCACACGTTATTTGTAAAACAAAATGCTATTTGTAAAACAAGGAGCAGCAGAAGACTCCATCCAAACTCAGACCATAATCTGCACCTGATGGAAGCCCTGGAGCTTTGTGGCCTAGCCTTTCCCACTGGCTGGCTGTTGTGTTCCTGCAGATAGGGAGACGTGCTTGTCTAGAGCCATACAAAATGCAGCCAGGTTTCTGCAGACAGCTTGGCCTTTCCTCTGGGACAGAGAGCTGAGTGATGCTTGCGCTGGGATTTACACAGCCACCGGTAGGATCTGGGCCCTTACCTCTAATTAAGTTGAATAAAAATTAGTGCTGATGACACTGATATTTCACTTCTCTCCTCTTCTGCCAAAGCTGTCCAACATTCTTAGGTATATTAGGAGGTTTGGTTATTTTACTATTATAATTAGGAACATGTGCTCTACCAATTTATTTCTTTTATTTTCTGGTTATGTTTTCACTCTTTCACCTGACAGCAGACACTTTCAATTTTCTTTTTTTTTTTCTTTTTTTTTTTTTTTTTTTTTTTCTGTTTAGCCTAGTAAAGCTTACAAGTCAAAAACAACAGCCCACAATCCTATGTTTCTGATACAGAAATAATATCTTTCCTTTTCTTTTCTAAAGAAACATACACCTTCTGTCAGGATTACAGGCACAGCCAAGCTACACATATAATATTTAATTTAAATTTTATAAAATTACATCTTGAGCAAGCGGCAGACAGAAATTGTAAAAGAAAAAATTAATAGATTAAATTGAGAACTGTGTTTTTAAGTTCATTGCCAGTCTGCTTTTTATATCTTTTTTCAGAGGCCATAAATTTCTGCAGGTAAAGATCAATGCCGTGCAAAATTCAGATAGAAAGGCATCAGCTCCATGGAAAAGACCTGCTCTCACACAGGCTTCCAGTGGTTCAGTGCACACTATTTATCTTGCACTCTAGTAATCCACGCAGTATTGCACTTCCGAGTTCTAAAAGCTCCAGCACTCTGAAAGTGCAGAACCAAGCTAGGTATAAGCAATATATTAAGGCAGAGGCACTGCCAACAGCTCCAACTCCATAATACCTTCAGCCTACTGAACCACATGTTAATGTGCTACACGTGCGACTCTGCATGTTTTTGCCATATTTTTACCATGTACACTAAGGAGCTATATGTTTCCTCCTCTTTCCAGTGCAATATATTTTAATATAAAATCAATGTGTGTTTTTGGTAGGCAGCATAAGAGTTTTACCTACTCGGCTGTGAATCTAAGAAGAAAGCAGTATTGATTTAGATGTTCACTCATTCATTTACTAGGACAGTTTTAAAGCATTAGGTGATAACCTAATTGAGAGGCATAGTGTGAGGGAAACTGAGATTGCTGTGATAAATTAAATCAGTTCTGGGATGTCATCTACAATACCTTAATACTTGATGGAATGTTCTCATGAAAAAAATTAAACAAGGAAGCAAGCACCTTGGGTGGCAGAGTGTGGCTTTCCATAAATGCCAGGTGATACAAGGTGATTAAAATATGTATTGCTTATTATAGAAACATTACATTTATGCCACACATATTCTATATTTATGTGCAGATCTGCTTGTATATCAGACAATGTATATATTTATCAGACTGGCTTCTATTTCCCACATATAAACCAATTATGAAACAACCAAGGGTGCGAATCTTTTGCCATCTATCAGTTTACTTTAAAAAACCTGGCATCACATAGCATCCCTACAGATATTATTTATTCATATGCATTTTACAGAGGCAAGTTAAGTCACATGTGTCATCAAACAGTGGTATGACTGCTGCATGCCGAACTGTGCTTGCATTGCTCAGGTACGTGCTGCCATGAGGCCAGAAGATCTGGTCTCACATCTGGGTCTCACATTTAGAGGAACCTGTCCCACATTCTCTCCTGCAGGCCTCCCAACAGCGCTGATACTCCCCTGGATTTGGGCACCTGGTGAGTCAGGCCCAAAGCCCCCTGGACTTCTCCAGTCACTTCAGTCACTAGCTACAAGCATCTTGGATGACTCTCTCTGGTGTTTGAGAGATGCATTCTTCTCGGGATGGGCCAGCCAAAGAGGGCATAAGCAATGCTGAATGCACCAGCAGTAATAGCATTAGCAGAATCCAGGGAATTCTGAAATTCTTTCCTAATGCAGGACACAGTCTGATAACGTACTAAGCATCCTGACTTTTAACTTTTAACTAAGTCACCAGAGTATGTGAAAGTATGAGGCAAAGTGAAACAGTTAACAATAAGAATAAACATCCCTGTAACACAGATGATTCTGATTTAAAATCCATGAATTTGCATGTAAGAAATAATTTTGCTCTGAAAATTTCCTACACTTTTACTACCTCGTATTCAGGCAGAGTATTTTTAATAGATTCATATTCCTCAAAGCAGTGACTAAATGAAGAAGCTTTTTACATTGCATGTGTGTTCATACAGAAACAAAATATAAAATTAGAATATAGAAATATAAAATATTTTTAAAACCACAAACCTGCATTTGAAAATAGGAAAAGTTCTGGAACTCTGAGTTATACCTCTTGAGAGTTAATGTGCACAGATTTTTTTCTACCCTTGGAAGAGTGGCAGAAGCAAAGGCTCTGCTTGTTCACAACACCACATTTTGGAACTGATAGCAATTTATTCATACATTAAAATGCCTTCATATATTAGATTTAGGGAGAAAACCTGCTCACCCAGATTAAAAGGCAATTTGTATTAAAATACAGTTTCAGTTATTAAAGCACAGAATTCTCACCATATGCACCAATAATTTAATCTTGCTCTTAAGTAGCCTCACACTACCAGTAAAAAAGAGGCAGGGGGTGTGGGGAGAGAGTAAACTACAGAACCTTTAGTCCCCAAAACAGATGCCAGTTTTGGATTTATTCAGCCAAGGAGTATTTAGCTTGGCTCAGCTACACTTGCATTGAAAAAACACTTGCCTATTCCAAAAAGTTTTTAACAAGCTCTGCTGCAGATGCTGTTGCCATTTGGCATGTCACCGTCACTGTGTGGTACAGCAGAGAGAACTCTCGACCACAGGTTTTCCTTGGCTGGAGGAGCCAGCATTTTTGGCTATCCTTCTTCTTCTGGCCAAATGGCTGCATGTTTACAGAATGTGGTTTTAGAAAGAGTGTTAACAGAGGTTGGGTTAACAGCCTAACCCAGACCAACAGTGAGGCAAAGGCATGACCTACCCAACCTAAGAAAACAGAGGTAGAATAAACTTGTATATGTTGTTGCTCTTAACCTACAGTCTCCTGTATGTACTATACCTATAGACAAATAGATATTTTTCTTTGCCTCAGGATGGATGACAACAATTTTAAAAGCTGCACCAGTCATGAAAAGTAGAAAGATATAAAAATATGTGGTTGCTTAATCTTTTTCAGCTTGATTTCATTCTCTCACTTATGACAATTTTACCTTGGCAAAATGCCACTGAAAAAAGTTCAATGAAGTTAATCCTCATTTTCACTATGAAGAGGTATATTGAGATGATAAAAGCCCTACAGAATTAAAACTAAAAACTTCTGTCTTCATATTTCCATTAGACAGCAGCAAACGGCAATTCTGAAACTTAAAATCTAAAGCGTTTCTACATCAATAACTTGATTCCAAGGATATTAGTCCCCAGTACCTCCACAAGAGTGCATATAAAGATGGGGAAAACGTATATATGTCTACTTGTAATTTCGTTTAAGAACATTAATCCTATATCAGTACATATGCCTGAAAAGCCTGGACCTTTTAAGATGTAGAACAACTGTAAAAAACAATTTTGTTTTTTTGTTATGACATTTGACTCATATAAATAAATTACATTTGTCCAAATTCTGACAGTTCTTTTTGATGGGAACACAGAAAAGGAAAATAACCCAGAGATAGATAGATAGATAGATAGATAGATAGATAGATAGATAGAAATAGGTATTATTTTGTATGCTTCTCTGACACACCGTGCTCCTATCTGGAAGGAACAAGGGCTCTGCAGCACACACTTTATCCTGCACTCTTTATTAACTGACAATTTTCTTTAGATCAAGTTGTGGAGCACAGACACCATTAGAGAACCAACCAGGCCATTTCCTTAAATTCTACTGATCTGCACCAAAAATCCCATTTAGCACAGTATGGATCAGATAGTTCACCTTCAGCTCCCTCTCACCAAGAGATCAGTTAGGACTAAGAACAACTTGAAAGTTCAGAGACACAAAGGCAATTTACTGCAGCATATTAAAAAACAGTATAACATATGACTAAGAATGAAGTAAGCAGTGTCTGGCTACATCCCCCCCCCCACTGTCTGGATAACTGGTATGCAACAGCAATATGAGAAAATACAGTAATTAAAAAAAATTCTCTTTTTACCATTTTGGCTTCTGAATGCATTGGGGGAACTTGAGGTGAAGCACATGGATTATTGAGGTTCGGCCCTTGCATCCCCATGATGTTGGAGTTCATTGACATTTGTCGCTCCATCTTTTAAAAGAAACAAAAAAAAGCTTTGAAAACATCTGGAGACACTTGCAAGAATGTACTCTCGGTTTCTATTTAAATGGACTCAGCTTTATTTCTTTAAGTCATGACTGGGAAAATAACAATCTGTGTCATGAATTGAATATGTGCATGCATGTAGGCGTGTGTTTCATCAGAATCGGCCCTCAAAACTCACAGCCAATTATAAAGAAAGGGTTTCTTTAATAAACAAATGTAGCAGCCACCCAGGTTTGAGCTTTTTTGTAATGATTTTCTCCCTTTCAGTATAACAACACTCAGAGTTAAGTGGTTTTAAAAGCATCACTGTATAAAATTGTAGCTTCCCCTCCCAGTGCAGCCCAACTTAGCTTGTTAAAAGCATAAATAAAAATCTACAATCTCAAGCACTCGGAAAACAAGTTGGCTGATTTTCCTTTGCTCGGACTGCTCAGCTGGGAAGAGTTTTCCACATGTCTTGTAAGGGAAGCCTTCGTGCACTGCTGAGATAACAAAAAACAAAGCAAAACCTCTCCTGGCTGTTCAGAGCCCTTTCTGCAAGCTAGACTCACTAGGCTGGGAGGGAGGGATACAAAACCTAATGGCAGTAAATCCTCTATAAAACAATTTCCTGGGGGGTATTCCCCCCAAAAAAAGACAAGCCCTGAACACTGCTAGGCCTTGTAAGGGGTGGTAAAACAGGGTTATGGTGCTGCTTCCAGACAGAGCTGAGCATCCCACCTTGCTTTGAGCCAGTCTGCTGAATCTTTGACTCATACCAAAAAGACAATTTTGGGTCCTTCTGAGCAATCCAAGCAGGGGAGCTATTTTTTGTGCCTTGTGGTGAGGAGTTGTCTCCCATCCTCCATGATGCCTGCAAAAATGGGTGCTGGGCTTCAGGGAAATGTGAATACCCCACTCTCCCCTGGCAGAAAAGAGCTGCCAATGCCCCCTTTCCCTTTCTCCATGGGGCAGGAGCAGGTCCCAGTGCCGTCTCCCCCCAGGCCTCTCAGGAGTGCTGTGGGGCAGGAGGAGCAGCCAGCGCTGACAGGGTCTGTGTCACCTCCACGCTCACAGTCAGAGCACACCTGCTCCTCTGCAAGGAAAGCTGCCCAAAGGGCTCCCCAGCAGCAGACTGAAAACACTGAACTTACACTGCTGCTGGATGCTTGTTGCATTTTGGGTTTCTCGGGAATCATGCCAGAAAAAAACTTCCCACAATGACACGTCTTATGGGGTTGTTTTGTTAAACTTCCTGATTGATATTCCAGGAGAGCCTTATTGACAAGTTAATAATTAATAACTTATTCACGATTGCTCAAACAGCAGCCAAACCTGAATCTTTGTATCTCTGTGGAGTGTTCCCCTTGATCCAGCAAAGCAAGAACAAGCAGTGCTTTTCTCCCTCCCATGGTCAGTTGCTCTCAGGTTTGTCTTGCAAACTGAACACAGTGAGATGAAGCAAAAACTTCTCCTTTCTCCATCCCCTCTTCCCCATGTCATCCTTACTTTTCTCCACCCCTAACTTGCCCAAATGTCTTCTACTGAAAAGGTTAAAAGGCTAAAATAATTTTAAATTTGAAGTAACAGTTGGAAAGCAGCCCTTTGGTTTCCATAAGATGGGAAATATTCCTATCTCTCCAAAAACGATGAAAGATGAGCAGGAATTGTTACCTAGTTCTCAATAAATGCAAGTTAACGGGCCTGAAAAGTAAATCACATTTCTTTCTTGCTAGATCCCACACGAGAGGAACATTTAGAGTTCACTGACATAACTTATGTGCATTGCTTTTCCAGTTTTTTTCTGAATTCAGAAAAATCTTTTTGTTCCATCTCAGACATACTGATCTCACCTACATGAACAAGTATAAGAATCACAAATTGTAGTCTCATGTAAACTGCTTCTAATCACTCTCACACTAATTAGCAAGCCATTAACTTAATCAGAAATACTCTAGTCTAAGGTGGAGCACCAAAGAAGGTCCACCTTCCTTATTACACTGGGTTTTCACAAAACCCAGAAGACTTTCACCTCTGCTTAGATTGAATCAAACACAATACAAGTTTCCACCCTGCAAAAAAAAAAAGCCAAATAAGAAAACTTACAGGCATGAGTACAGCAGAAGATCCTGGCATGGTGGGGTTGGGCAGGGTGCCAGGCATAGAGGCAGGCATGGGCTGTCTTTGTCGGTTGTGTAGGTGCAGTAGTGAAGACAGAGAACCTGGGACAGGCCTAGAAGAAAGGAAAAGAAAAGAAAGTTGTCATGGGCTGTGGAGACCAAGACAAGCCTTACCCTGCCAGCCATTGGTAGGCACAGGCAGCTCCAGACAAGCAGGCACAGATAAACCAATCCAGGATTTGCCCTTTCCTGCATAAATCAGTGGAACATAAAGTTTTCAAGTACAGGATGAATCACCTTCCTTATGCCTTTATCAGTTAAAGCTCCAGCATAGTTCATCTGATATAACACCAATGTAAACCTATCAGCTGGTCTCAGTCTCAGCACCTCTGCACAGCATAATGGCCGGAAAAAGATAATACAAAAAAGATTTTCTACAGACAAACCAGAAAAATCTGTTGCCATTAGTGCACTGCTGTAAATTTAGCCCTCAAGAACAAAAATATCTGGATGATAGTTTCACAGACTATGACAGAAAATTACTACTCTTAATTTTGAAATTGTATCATCTGTAAATAAGCTGTTCTAAAATGAGTATTTCAAATCACTCTTGATAATCTCTCCTGTGAAAATGTAACAAGCCTTTGTTCCAAAACAAAAAATTACTAATTTTACCTATTAGCACACCACCAGGACACAAAAAATGGGAAAAGAGAAAAAAAAGTAGAAATAAATTAGGAAAATTACATTCAGATTAAGCAGTTTATGAAAGCAAAACATATCGACTACAGAAAAGCAGAGTGAATTATTTTGGCAAAAGGGGTTCAAAAGATTTAGAAGGATTTTTTTAAGTACAGCACAGGGAAAACTGCATGTGAGAAAGCAAGCCCACTCACAAAGAAGAATCATAAAATTAATGGATTAAACAATGCTGGGACTACACTTTGAAAAAAGCCTTTAAGCATGTGACCTTGGGAATTATCTTAGCAGTTTTTTGTTGGTTTGGGGTTTTTTTTAGTTTTGAAGGAAGTGTGAGTTGCTTGAAGTTTCAGGTGAATGTAATTTGCTACCATTTCAAGCTTTCAAAAACCTTGAAAATAAAGTTTTCACACACAGTGCCTCAACAAACACTGAGAGTACAAGTAGGTGTGTTAAATTCTCAGAGAACAGGATGCTTTTCTGTACAGCACATGGTTTAGTTTATTAGGAAGGAAAGTTGCCCCTAAAGGTACAAGACAGACTGGAGAAGAGGGTGCATAATCTGGGAGTTTAAGGAACCTCCGCAGGGGCAATCATGGCAAAAACCTGAGATGTTTAAAGCCTCTAAACATCATGGCTGATTTAAAGCCTTGGCAGAAGCATCCTTTGCTTCAGTGATCAACCCTCAGCTGGCCATAAAAGCCTCAAAATTGGGCTGAGCTGGTCAAGGGAAGCAGAGTCATAACCCTAGAGGAGCAAGAGATAAGACTGTCCCGCTTGGCCTGAACTTTGTCACACCAAATGATGGGGTTTTGCCCCTCCAATTGCAAGTGGTACTGGCAACCATGAATACATGCAACCCTCCTCTAACTTAAGCTGTCACTTCCAGCTATCAAACATCGTGCAAAAAGCCCAAAGGCTGTGAGCAATGGGATTCACAGACATCCAGTTTGGAGGGCACCACATCCAGGCTCTCAAACTGTACGTTCCTGTCTGATGGCAAAACCACCTTCTTCTGAGACACAAGTCTCCTTCTCTTTTGCCAAGACTTCACCTAATACCCTTTTCTTTAAAACTCCCCAGTATTTCCCATCCTTGGACTTCCAGTCCTTCAACCCTCATGTCTTCAACCCTGTTTCCCTAAAAACATTTCTATCCCAACAAATGCCACCTCAAAATCCTTGCCCTGACAATTCCCTCATACTAAGACACTCTGCTCCTCCCACCCTTCTGCCCTCAGCTGCCCTCTTTTAGCAGCTGCACATAACTGAACCCATCCTTTTGTCTTGGTTCTCTGTGGAGAGAAAAAGCCTGTGTTTTGAAGGATGTTTTAAAAATCCTCCCAGACACATACAGTACTTATTCAGAAGGGGAAGAAAGAAGCCCAAAAATAACAACAAATGTATCTCAGATACAAAGAGTTCTTCCTATTCCTCCCTTGTTATCTGCTGATGGAGGAATGTGATGTACTAACATCTTCATATCACCTTAAAAAACTCAAGAAAACGTTTTTCAAATGTGTGGTGTAATCCTGGGAGAGAGTGCAGTAAGTTCTGTGAGGGAGCATGATTGAATTTCTGGGATATGCAGCTCTACAGTCAGCACAGCACATGGGCTGAGCCTGGGGTGCTGTGGAGGTGGCATAAGTGGAATGGATGCAGTGCAGGAAAAATGAGCTCAGAAAATATACTCAAAGTACACAGACCCATTCTGCTGTCCACTTAAACTCAGCTGCTCTGTGTACCAGCACTCATTCACACATGAAGACTTGACAAATCAATAGGACAGGGTCAAAATAGTGTGAAAAGCAGATTAAGTGTTCTTCTGAAAAGAAAAAAGTGAGGAGATAACAGGTTGAATGTGAGGAGGAGATCTCATTTTGGTTTTTAGAGGCTGTGGTGACCCCTACAAGCAGGATCCACTTCCCACTGGCCCATCCTCACCAGAACTATTGCCCTGCAGAGCAGATGACAAACTCAAACAGGTCTTCTCTATCTCATGCTTTAAAGTCCATGTGCCAGAGAGAAGGGCTGGAGCCCCATGTTGGGGCATTTCAGTGCAGAACCGAGTGTGCTGACACCCCGGCTGGGGACACCCATGGGGTTTCCTCCCGGACAGTGGTGGGAGGAGTGGGCAGGAAAGGAGAAAGCACTGGTGCACTCTCCTGCCTGGCCTGGGACGAGACTGAGCTGTGCACCCACCTGCCCACTCTGCAGCCCTCCGAGTCCACCAGCTCAGATGTGTGGGAACTTAGATCTGTGGAAGAGAATCTATGGGAACTGTGCTGGCCTGAGCCATGCATTCAATAAAAATACCTCTTGAGTTTTCTGTGGGGTCAAAGTAAAACAAGCACCGTGAAAAGAGCCCCCCCTTGCCCCTTTATTCATTCTGAGAGGGCTCTACATACAGACCCTTTGTACAATTCACCAGTTTCCTAATAAGCTTAGGTGTTAGGCTGTTTGACAGAAACTTATTTTGGCCTGACCTATACAATTTGCACAAATGATTCTCAAGGGACTGCATGGTTTGGGTTTTGCTTATATGTTCCAGAGCCAAAAAAATTTCCAAAATTGCTTTAATGAGTTTGGGAATAGGGGGCATGGGCAAAAGGGAATTATTCGTATTTATTAAAATGGCAAAGAATCTTCTTTGATGCCCCCAGTTTTACCTTTAACACTGCTTCATTTTAGGGCAAAGCACATACTTTACACTTAGCAAGAGGGGAAAAAAATCTTCAGTTCTTCAAATATTTTTTCTTACTACACTCCTGCTAGTCTGTTCCTAAGTCTGCTTTTTAAAAGAGGTGCAGAGCAGTCAGGGAAGACTTGCACTTCAAGGTTGAGCCTCTTTGTTGAAAAGCCTGCAGTGCTCCTACCATGGATAAAAACGCTACATAATGCACTCTGGATTCCCCCCTCCCATATCAGGGAAACTGACATTGGCCAGTACTCATGGATACCTCCATTGCTCCTACACTGAACACAGGTCCTGGATTTAGCACGTGTTCCTGAACAGTCACTCTCACAGAGCTCAGAGAACTTGTATGGCACAGAACCCTACAGGCTTAGATGTTTAATTCTAATGTCTAAGACATCTCTTCCAAGGACAGCACAATCTCTTTTGTTGTTGCTTTCTCTCTGGCAGCAAAGAAAGTCAGTGAGAGTTTATAACTGTTATTTTTTGGTGGACATATCTGCCCTTCTCTTTGTAAATGCTGCCTGCAGACTGTCAATCAATATTGCTGACTGGGAGATTTTCATTCCTTGGCACCTGTGCTGCTAAATAAATAGGGCTGTTGGGCAAACAGCCCACAGATAAAGGACATATAAGATAGAGAACTGGCAGATGCTCAACCTCACTAAAAATCTGGCTACCCATTAAATTTTTCCAAAATTTAGGAATTTTTACTGTGTTCCAGTGGAAGCCTGCTATTGAATATGATGGGGTCTCAGCCAGCATTTGTACACTTTGGGTGTACATGGCCTGGATAGTCAGAATTATGGTGGCTTAGTAAAATACCACATTAGCCAAGCTGCTGTAACTGACCATGTGGCTCTTCTTCCTCTGCATGGTCGTGCTAACACCATGAGTCACTCTTATTAACATTTAAACAGATGGGTGGTACCCTGCTAAGCCATGGTGACTCGATCATGTTCCATCATATGACTCTGCCCAATGATTAAAGATAACTCCTCTAATGCAATCAAATGTCTAGGATATTTACTTCAGTGTCTGCCTCCTTGATTAATACCAAATACTCCATCTGACATGATGCAATTGATGCCTGATGACTAAACACTACACTTGTCTATTAAAAGACTGGGCTTCCCTTAACTTGAAGTCTTCAAGGACAATTTGGGGAGATGACAATTTGTTGCTGAGGTCTCATGAGAGTAGGTTCCTGCTGACCTAGACCATCTGGGGCTATGTGCAAAAGGACTGATGCTATTTAAAGAATCACTGCAGAAGGTTTTCTACTATGGTAAAGCACTCCAGGTCAGTGGGTCCTGCCATGACCTCTCTCCTGCTCCTTACTCCCCTGCACATAACATTCATGCAAGGTCATCAAGAATACCTACATCACAACCCCCTTTGTTCCACTCCAGCTAGCTCTGGCGTGGAAAAAGTTTAGCTAAAAGTATACCGAGTTGCACTGGAGTAAAGGAACTCTTCTTTTGACTTTCCATAGCCTTCAGACCCAGTCAGCTCACACCAGAGCAGCCCACAGGCTGTGCTGTGGGAATTTGCCATGTCAGCTCAGCACTGGCTGAGGGATCTCTGTACCACACTGCTGTTACACAACACACTTGATCAGACTTTCATCATTTATATATATATGTATAAACATGCATGCATCTACATATTTATTACAACAGTGCCTAGAAGCCTTGGTTTAAAATAGTGAGGTGGGTGA